TAGTGTTCATCATCCATTGCTTTTTCTTAACTTTTTCTGTCCTCCATTAGCAAGTGTACTCAAATTTCCTTCTACATGTATTAACGGTTTTAAAAATTAAAAAAAAAAAACCATTATAGGTTGGTCGACCAACTAAACACCAAGCTTTGTCTCTGTTCAAACTTCAAACACTGAGAAAACGAACTCCACCTACTTACCCCTTCCAGATTTCACTTAGTTTGACTTTTGGAAACTCAAATCTAGTATTTGACCAATTAAACTGACGCTCAAGTCTCAAGTATCCATGGTGATGGTGTAAGAAATCCTCTACCTGTTTTTCCAGTTTCCACACTCACCCATCAGTCCCTCTCTCTCTAGGATCGATGTTTTTACACCTGATTAAAATAAAGTCTATCTTAAATGTGCTTCTTGGGAGAGATGTCACAGATGGTAGATGAGTGCCGTAAATGGCGCTTTCTATAATAATCAAACCCTTTGTCAAAGTCCTCCACTTTTAAAATAGAATCCATGGTTGGTTTGGTTTCTTTCTAGACAGAAAGCATAAAGAATTTAGAATTCATAGCACCACTGAGGCCCAAATGGGTTTTGTCTATTGGGCTATCTCCAAATATTGGGATGGCCCAAGAGAAGATTGGCAAGCAAGTGATTAAGAGGCATGCACAGGGAAGGTAATGCATGTGTTTAGTTTCCCAGATGGTTTAGGCTTTTTATGCTTTGGCACACTTGTAAGAGAGAGAAGCTGCTAATTTGAGGTGCCTTGCTTGGCTTTTGATTCAAGTGTTGCAAAGATGTTTTGTCCTCTAATTTGCATCAATTCCTTTCTTTGTCTATGTATGTGACCCCATGTTCATGTTATGAATGTCCCAAAAATTCAAGCATACACTTCATCACACCATCCCTTTTGCTTGATGGTGTAGTAATGTTCATCTATGCAATACTTGCATACCGTTTTTGTTTGATGTGTAGACCTAGATTTACAAAACGAAGAAAGTTTACTACGATTATTTTACGTCCTTTAGGTTTCATCATTTGATAAGATGATTTTGAGCAAGTTTATGTGTTAGAGTAGATTTTGATTTGACTCGATAAGAAATTACATAAGATCTTAAACTAAAACATCTCAAATGATATCAGAATGATTATTGTACCACACATATATTTCAATTAAGGATAAAGCAAAACGAGCTAATCTATGAATCACAAAATTGACTTCACGATATACAAAATAAAATGAAACAATAATCAGTTGCGAATAACATTATTATGATTATGAAAAGGTTTATTGAACATTATTATGTACCAAAATAATGAACCTACATGTATAATAATGTACCAAAATTTAAGCTAAGATTTATTGAAATTTCATATTAGTTAAGGATGATTATGTTGTATGCGGTACGACATTAAAATTAATGTCGTAAGAAATAACAAGCACCACGTCACTTTACCAGGATTCAGTGGGCTCGCGCGGGACGTCTCAACTACCTGATGATTGCGTGTCACCGCGGTATTAACCAAGATTCTTTTTCTACTAATTTTCCTGGGAAACAAACACGCTTCAATTGGCGCGTACCTCGACTCACGGCGCATTTTAGCAAAGGCCCTAAAGCCCTTAAAACTTCCCCTAATTTAACTGCGGTTCTTCAATTTTCTGCTGATTTTCCAACTCTCAGTGCGCAATATTCTAAGTATATAAACATCATCTCCAACTCCAACAACCTCTCACTCACCTATTTCCTCGTCAGCTTCGCCTCAATTTCAAACCCTTCTCTAAATCTCTCTCGAGGCTCACAATGAGCGTGACGTTGCAGTCGTTCTCGCTCTTAAACCCTAACCCTAGTTGTGGATTGAAGAAGCCGGCTCCGCTGGCCTTGTGTTCATCACCTTCGTCTTCTCTGCGGTTCGATCAGTTGACTGGAGCTCGCGGTTATGGAGCCCCTATTGTCCTCCCGAAAGGGCTTGACGGAGCTTATCTTTCACTGCACCGACGGAGCTTGTGGACTCGACCAATTGTCGCTGCCGCTGCTTCACAGGAGGAATCGGTGAGTTGAATTTGTGAGTTTTCTTTTGTTTTATGATAGGACTAAGAGTGTTTGGGTGTTTTCATTTGTTCAGGTCGTGGAAATGGGGGATTGAGGTTAATGTATGCCATGTGTTTGATTGCGTAATGCTTTTACTTGGGTGGGATTATGTCAAGTTTTGATTTTTGGCACTTGGAAACAAGTATGAATATTTTCTGAAATTTGAGTTTGAGAAATTATGTATCATTCACCCTGTTTTTTAACTCTATGTTTGATCATTGTCTCGTGAAGATTTAAAGGCCTGCTAACCAATTAGATTTGATAGGAAGAGAGTTATATGCATGATCTGGGATTGATTTATCGTTCATTCGGGGTGCAACTTGTTCACTTATCATGACATTGATTTGAATTTTCTTTCCTAGAAGCATCCAGAGATTGAGGCGGAGAAAGAAAAGGATAATGCCAAATTGAAATCTGAAGAATCAGAAGAAGCTTGGAAACAGACTCTGGCCGCTTTCAAAGAACAAGCCTTAAAGACGCAAAGCATCTCACAGGAAGCATATGAGTTATACTCTAAGAAGGCATTAGTTATTTTGAAAGAAACTTCAGAGCAGTTAAAAATACAGGCTGATAAGGCAAGGATTGATTTGAGTGAGATAGCAAAAGAAATCAGTGAAGAAGGTAAAGAATATATCTCCACAGCTGCAAAGAATTCCCCCGAGCCAGTGAAGGAAATTGTTGAAACATTTAACTCATCAGCTGATGATCTGAATGATGTTTCAAAAGTCCGCGACTTTCATGTTGGGATACCTTATGGTATGTGTAGCTTATTTAAAGACCGTGATGCCTTGTGGTTTTTCTTTTCTTTTTTCTAAAGCTTTTAAGTACACATTTGCAAGGTACTTTTGGTCATATCATATGCTTATGCTTTGCAGGTATTTTTCTTTCTCTTGGTGGCTTCCTTTCCTTTATGGTAACGGGAAGCACCTCTGCAATTAGGTTTGGGGTTATCCTTGGTGGCGCTCTTTTGTTTTTAAGCGTTTCAAGTTTAAGATCATATAAGCAAGGAGAATCATCTCCTTTAACCTTGAAAGGGCAGGCAGGTTAGCACTGGTTTATTTTTATAAGATACATATCGGAGCTTATCCAGTTTTTTTTTAAATTTATATGATTCAGTTGATTTTTTTTTCTATAACTTAAATGCTTATAATGTACTGCTGGACCTGCAGCTATAGCCAGTATAATTTTTCTGAGGGAGGTACGCTTTCTGGCTCAGGTTAGAAATTCTTTCTTTTCTTATTTTAAATATGAAGTTTCTTTACTGCTCTAATTGATCTGTCTTCCAAACTTCTGATATTTCTTGTTTCTGTTTATCCTATTTGCAGAGGTCGTCATTTCCGAATTTGACCACAACCCTTGTCAGGTTATTATGATTCACATGTCCTCTCATTTTTGCGATGCTATTTTCTTTCTAGCTTTCTTTCATCAGAGGGAAATTACCCTGGTCTTTCAAGGATATTGAAACAATTATATAATCATTACATAGAATTGTTTTTTCTCTCAGAATCCATGTTCTGTGAATAAAAAATCCTGTGGCTTTGGGAAAGACTTAATGGCATATAGTTTTAGAAGAACAGGTTGAGAGAGGGAAAATAATGGAAAAGACTTGCATGGCTGATCAGAGTGGATATTGATGTGTCATTTGGTGATCCTTTGACCTTGCATGGTTCTTTGTTGTTTTTGACTAGATGGCCTCTAGATACTATAGATTGCCGACTACCTCCTAACATCTTCATCAGGCATAAAAATGCTAAACTAGATAATGTTGATTTATGTTTATTTGAGATGAAGATAAAATCTTCTTAGGCCTGTATAAACAAGCTAAATTTTTTTATGCTTCCTTGATATGAAATTGAGGACAAAATTGCTTTGTCTGACCTCTTTGAATTCCTGTATGCATAATAATGAGGTTTCCAAACATCTCTCCTTCAGAGCTTAAAAGAGATTGCTATCTGATAAATTGATTTTTTTTGTGTGCAGTGGAGCAGTTGTAGCTTTCTACGTCTACAAGATTGTACAGAATCGCAAACCTCAAAAGGGCTCCAACTTTGAGAAGGAGACGGAAATTTAGAGCGTGTGCAAGGTTAGTTTGCAGATTGTTTCTTATGTAAAAGTACCAAGGGGGTGATGAATTGCAGTATCATTCAAAGTGTTGGGTTAATTAACAACCTCGTGTTTGAAGTACTGATGTGTACATGGTTTCATGTTTGCAGCAAAGCAAAAGTAACCTTCTTCGTGCAAAACAGGCTGAGGATATTTTGCTGAACGGCAGTAGCTTGTTTGCTTGATGCTGTTGGGAATGAGGCAAGAGAACTTGGGCACATGTCTTTTTCATTTTTCACTTTGTAATATGTTGTTCTTGCTTCCCTTTTGGTGTTAGATATGATGCTGCAACTAGTCGATTTGTCTTTTCACTATTTTTCCCATGCACCTACCTACCTCTGTTCAAAGTTCAAACTTGTATTCCCATTTCCTTCCCAAAAGAGAAATAAAAATAGTTGTATTGTCAAACCTCGATGTCTTTTTTCTAGTAAATTCAAAGAAAAACAATAAATGTCATATTCCCATTCCTAAAGAAGCGTTAATTACGAAGTAAAAATATTTCCAAAAGAAAACGCCAAATTTAATGCTTTTTATTTGTTCTTCTTTCTTTCTCTGAGCAAGCGTCTTCCTTCCCCCAAATTTAATGCTTTGATATTCTTTCCTATTTATTGATGTTATACGCTATGACACAAATTTTTCTAAATGTTAGCTAAAAATTAGGAAGATCGGTATATATAATCTCTCCAATCCTAAAACAAAACAAAACCCTACCTTTTGTTTCGTCCCCCTTCCTAACTGTGGCCAGAACTGAAAACTCTTGTTTCGTCCATTGAAAATTGGAGAAAAAACTTACATCGGAGACTGGTAATCAGAACAATGGACAACCTTCCTGAAGAAATCAGCCCCAAGAGAACAAAAAGATGGATGGAAGCAATGCCAGGGGACAATTATATTCCTGAAGAAGTCATTCACGACATCCTGCTGCACTTGCCCAGCAATTCTCTACTCAAATGCACTAGTGTGCAAGTCACGGAGTTCTCTCTGATCCGAAGCTCTGCCTTCATTCACACCCACCTCAGCCACGCAATCATCAAATCCGATAACCAAAACGACGACGCTCAGTTCCTCCTGCTACAGTATTTCAATGCAACTCTGTCATTGCATTGGGATCGCAGCCCTACATTTAGTGAGTATTCTAAGCTCATAAATCCATTCGTTGCTTACAATGAACTCCAAGGACGTCCAAAAGACAATTTAGATTTAAGGGTCCGCACGGTCAAGGTGGTCGGAAGTTGTAACGGGCTAGTATGCCTCCATCCATCACCGCCTTACCACGTTAATTTGGAACCCGTGTATTAGAAAGTTTGTGATTTTGCCTTGGGGCACTGTTTCTGCGTCTGAGTATGATCCTAGAAGTTATTCATTGGGCTATGATTCGCGTACCGACGACTATAAGGTTTTGAGATTTGTAAGAGAAAGGCTTGTTTCCTGTGCAGTTGAGCTTTGATCCTTAGCCAGGGGCTCCTGGAGGAGTGTTGTTACTCCAAACTTTGTCCATGAAATGCTTCCCAGTACAATGTCAGGCCCTGTGATTGAACCGGCTTTTGTTAATGGTGCCATGCGTTGGATTCAGGATCGTGTGGATGAGAATGTGATTTTGTCTTTTGATTTGTCCACTGAATCATTTGGCAAGATCCTGTTGCCCAATGCAGATTCAAGAATCAAATTTAGGATGTTTGTAGATTTTCAAGATGCGGAGACTCCCTTGCTTTCTTTGAGAATAATAGAATTCGGAGCACTGCCTTGGTTTCTTTAATGGAAATGCGCAGCAGTTCAATGATAGTGGTTACTTTCACTTGTGGGTGATGAAAGAGTATGGTGTTGCAGAATCATGGTCTAAGTTATTCACTATATCCCCGCAAGAATTTGTGGCAAGGACACCGCCTGGTTTTACAGGAACTAAGATGAAGCTGTTTGGTTTTAGAAAGGGTGGTAAAGTGGTGCTGAAATGGACATCATCGGGTGGTTATAAAGCTGCTGATGTTTTTTTTTGCTGGATGGATCCGAACACCAAGGAATGCAATGATTTTCGAATGGATGGCCGCAGCAGCAGCAGAAACTACCACTTGATGGATTCTCGAATGGATGGCTGCGGCAGAAGCAATTACCAGTTCATGGATTCTTTTGTAGAGAGCCTTGTACTGCTGGACCACCCGGATGCTATTTTATTAAATAGTATAGCCGTTTTTTATTTTTTATTTTTTTTAAAAAGAAATAGTATAGCCGACCGGCTATACTAGGATTTTTAATTTTTTAAAAAACTAAATAGTATAGCGCACGGCTATACTCGTTTTTCTTTTTTCTTTTTTTTTTTTCAAAGAAATAGTATTGCCGAACTGCTATACTCGGTTTTTCATTTTTTTTTAAGAAATAGTATAGCCGGTCGGCTATACTGGGTTTTTTAAATTTGTTTTCAAAAGAAATAGTATAGCCGCATGGCTATACTTTCCAATTATTTTTAAAGAAATAGTACAGCACACGGCTATATTGGGTCTTTTTCCAATTTTTAAAAGAAATAATATAGCCGCCCGGCTATACTTGGTTTGTTATTTTTTTTATTTATAAAAATATAGAAATAGTAAAGCCACGCGACTTTACTCGGCTCTTTCTATTTATATATATATATATATATATATATATACCGAGTATAGCTGTCCGGCGATACTATTTCTTTTAAAAAAAAGTAGAAAACCGGCTATACTTTTTCTTTTTCAAAAAATTAAAAAGCCGAGTATTGCCGGCCGGCTATACTATTTCTTGCAAATAAAATTTAAAAACCGGGTATAGCCGACTGGCTATACTATTTCCTTTTTAAAAATGTAAAAAAAAGAAAAGAAAAACAAAGTATAGCCGTTCGGCTATATAATTTATTTTAAATAAGTTTGAAAAATCGAGTATAGCCGGCCGGCTATACTATTTCTTTTTAAATAAATTTGAAAAACCGATTCTAAAGCTTAGCCAAACGATTCTAAAGCTTAATTGCAATCCAAGTGCACCCATAATCAGCTTTATAATTTCATTTCATGGTTCTTAGGGCATTGATTTGAGTAATCATTCTTTTGTTGTGATGTGTGACCATAGCAAACCTAACAGATCGAACTTGACTACATTGCTAGTGATGTCTGCATAAAGATTCAGATTCATTCAGTAACAAAATTCAAAGCAATAGTGCATCCCCTGCAAATGCAAAGGAATTAGAAAGATCGAACTTGACTACATTTCTAGTGATGATCTTATCTGTTGAAAAGCTTATTTAGTTATACAGAACTACATAGTAAAATAACTTACCTTAACAATGTGAAAAATAAGAAAAGCCACCGTGATATACACAAGCATCGATAACTCCTTCCAGTAAATGTTGTGTGATATAGGTACCTGGACAGAGTTGTTCACAAATTCAATAAAACAGAATCTGAAACAACTTCAAAATTGCAGATAACCAAGAACTCGGAACTGACCTGCTCATCTTGCAATGAAACCATCCGCAACACAGGAGATGTGCGCTTTAGAGTTTTCTTTTAGTTCATATTAGTGCTTCATCTTTAAACTCGGTCTATATATACACTCACCGCCACGTTTGGACTCCAATTCCAACTGCTTTTCTGCTTCCTGAAAGTCATGTGAAACCTCAAATTCCTTGTTAGTACGTTGATAACAGACCCTACTCATTGATAGCCCAGGAGACCCGGATAGTTGTGTGAAAATCTTACCTTCTTCATCATTGTCTCTTTCTTCCATGTTTATATGCCTTTCATTAAAGCTTTTGTTGCTGTACCAGCCAGAACTCAGAAGAATATCTAATAAGATTATTGGGAGTGTATATTCTGTAGACACTACAGAGAATTTTTTTTAGTTGGATAATGGTTGGTTATTCTACAAAATTTTCCTACATTTTCCCAAATAACTCAAGAAATAGTGACTTTCAGAAGGAACAAAGAAAGTTAATAAACAATCCAGTAGAAGCTTTAAATTATAACAAAATAGTTCAAATGTTTGGTATTGATTATGCCAAGTTTCTAGAGAACGATTAAGCGCAATATATATAAAGATTTGATGTGCTTTTCTTTTAGTTGTGTTCATATTCCATTTTATCAGTCCAGTTCGCAAAGTAAAAAACTAGTGAGGAAATTGTGGTCAAAATGTTATTACCTAAGAAGAGAATAATAAGTAGAACTGTGACCATCCAGTCGGCGAACATGACGTTGAAGAGAATAATAAGTAAAACATGACCATCTCCAGTCGGCGAACAATGTAAGCATCATCTCTTTCTTTCCCAATTCTCGGAAATCTTCTTTAAAAGTGAAATCCTTGAACACACTGTCACTCATATCTGAATAAATGGGCTAGGCGGGCGCTAGGCGGGGGCTAGGCGGTCTAGGCGGGTGCTGGCGCCTCTGGCGCCTAGAAGAAAGAAAAGGCCATTTTGGAACTCCAAGGTCTGGGACGAGATGACGATGGTGCTATGAGGCGAGAGAGAGAGACGACGATGAGATTGAAGAAGAAGAGAGGTTGCGTGTTATGTTTAGGGTTTAGAAAAGGGCCTGGGCGAGAGAGAAAGGCATGGGCTTCAGAAAATACAACATTAAATGGATTTTGCATAATGAAATCACTAAAGTAACCACTAATAAGTAACAAATAACAAATAAATATTTTAATATTTTAAATCAAAAAAATATTATACTATTTGTTTAATATATAATTTATATATCCTTTTATTTTTCATGATTTTGGTAGAAATTTATAATTTATAATGCTAAATAATTTATTAAAAAAAGCATAGGCACTCGCATAGGCCCCGATTACTCCTCTAGGAGCTAGGCCTTTGCCTGCCCCCGCCTTACTGCATAGTGATTTTTCGAACATTGTGATTAACATGTTGGTAAATCGAGGTGTATCAGCACTTCAATTTACAACCCTGCAATTTTAACTGACTCCAATTCCTTTATATTTGTGTTCATAACTAACTAAAAATTAGTTGCATTGCATGGCGTTTAGATTTTACTTCTCTGGTATAATTTTTCTCAAGACTATAAACAAAGAAGCAATTTCGTCAGTTCTCAATTGATTGTGCAGTGACTATATGTCTCTGGAGTATGCCATGGGCGGGATGTTTTCTGAAAAATCTAATGGCTACAACTTCGGGTCTTGCAATTGGAGATTATTAGTGGCAAAAAGAATACCAGCTTCTATTGCAGCTTCCTAGCTTATGTAAGCTCACACTCTAAATCTTAATGCAAAATCATATCTTTCATACAGCCTAATGAAGGCAGGGGTTTGGAGTTGGTTGATGAAGTATTGGCAGATTCATATTCACCTTCAGAATCTCATGGATTTCTATTTTTGAAACCCAAAGGCATTGCATATGCATGGGTCAAATTTCAGATTGGCAACCACATGGAATTTGTTGCATTCCTAAAAGGACACAATTTAATGTGCAAACAACCAATTAAAAATACCCGCAAGTGCACGAATCTATCGAAGTATAGATTTTGTAAGTACGGGGTCGATCCCACGAAGAACTTGTCGGTTGCCTATAAGTTCTAATTCGAGCACAAAGAGAACACTTAACTAACACACCACAATGCACAAATGCAAATTTGAAACTAAAAATAAAGTAAAGAAATGTAAAAGAAACAAACAAAACAAACAAACAAAAAAGGAAATGTGCTGTGAACAGTGACCAGCGACCGGTCGGGAGGTGAGAGCGACCGGTCGTTTTTGGTCTGGCGACCGGTCGTTAGGTAAAAGCGACCGGTCATTTTAGTACAGAGTCGAAACTTCAAAATTATGTGCTGAGCGACCGGTCGTGAGACACTAGCGACCGGTCGTTCTTGGGCAGAGTCATTTCCTCTGTTTTTCCAGTTTCAACCTCTATCCAGTGTTTTGCCTATAACTTTCCAACTGTATGTCCAATATTTACGTTCTTTATACGGTTGGATTCAGCACAGAAAATGGAAGAACACAACGTGGACCAAAAGTCCAAAACAATTACGGAAACAAATAAATTTCAGTAACAAAGACACACCACGTGTCTCACACACAACTCACACACACATTGGGGGGAGGGGGGGTTTGATTTGTTTCAAGTGACCTATTTCTATTGCATGAAAGTAAATGGACTTTGAATTTAAATGAGAAAGGCATAGATGAATTATCAAAATGTGAAAGTACCAAGTAACAAACACTA